GTGACATGGAAAAGTAAGAAGCAGACGGTTGTGGCAAGAAGCAGTGCAGAAGCAGAATATAGGACTATGGCGCATACCACTTGTGAATTAGTGTGGCTAAGGAACCTTCTACAGGAAGTAGGGTACAACATTAACACTCCAATGAAGCTCTATTGCGATAATCAGGCTGCAGTTCATATCTCCTATAATCCAATGTTTTAATGAAAGAACCAAGCACATTGAGGTTGATTGTCACTTTGTGAGGGAGAAGGTGCTGAATGGAGAGCTAGACACTACACATGTTAATACAGGAAATCAGTGGACTGACTTATTTACCAAAGGCTTGAGTCGAGGAAGAGTGGACTACATATGTAACAAGCTAGGAGTATATGATATATACTCACCAGCTTGAGGGGAGTATTAGCGTAAGGGTATTTCTGTCTTTATACCTTGATTGATGTTGCTGATCTGTAATGTTGTGTTGAAACATGTGCTCTTAATTTAAGTAAGGGCACATAGGTCATTTCAGTTCTGTTTTAAAAATAGTATAAATACTTACTGGCCGACTGGGAAGTCAAGTTAACTCTTTCAGTTCGAAATAGAATTCTCTCTTCTCTCTTTCTCTCTTTCTTTATCACTCTTTCTTCTTCTACATAACTGAACTCAGTCAGGCCGAACTCTAAGGCAGACCTGAATTATATCAAAAATAAAAATTTTTTATATATAATTTTTATTTTTATAAAATATTTTTTTCTCAAAATCGAGCTCGAGCTTATGAGCTTTTGACTCGAGCCGAGCTCGAGCTCAAGGTTCTGGCTCAAACCGAGCTCGAGCCTTGTAGAATAGTCTTGAGTTAAGCTCGAGCCTGGTACTATTTGGCTCGGCTCGGCTCGAATCCACCCCTAATGTTAACTAGTATATGCAACAATTTCCTGGAAGAGTCTTTAACTTTTGTATGCTAGTTGGGGCATTTTAGTTCCACAATAATTTGGCCAATCTTCCTACTCTATGGATAAGTGATTTATCCACTTAAAACTTACCTAGAAAAGTGGACCAAAATTTTATTGGAGGAAAAAATCACTTTTAGTTGGCCCTACATTTTCTTGCAAAAAGGGCATGAAAAATTTAATCAACTTCCACATCAACTTATTAGCAATCGGATAGGCCCTTGGAATCTATATTACATAGTTTTTAAATAAATACTTGGAGATGTATAGAAAGGATTCTAATATGATTAAGAGGTAGGGGTGGCCAGTGGCCACAAGCTGAGCTTTTCATGAATTATTCAAGCTCAGTTCGATTCAGTTTAAATCGAGCTTCAAGCTGAGTTTGAGCTTATTATATAGGCTTGTTTGTTAATCGAGGTAAGCTCGAGCCCAATAAAACTCCGCGTAAGGCTTGCGAGCTTAATTGAGACAATAAAAAATAAAAAATATAAAAATATTATATATAATAATAACTAATTTTTATTTCTTATTTTATATGTCAAATAAAAAATAAATTTTTATATGTACATTTTTTATTTTTATCAAATGTTTGGCTCACAATCAAGCTCGAACCAAGCCAAATTCAAACTTATAAGCTTTTGACTAGAGCCAAATTCGAACTCAAATTTCTAGCTCAAATCGAGCTCGAAACAAACACTTGAAGTGGTTAAATTTAATGATTTGGGGCTCTGTCTTTTAGTGAATTAAGTCATTTAGTAGGTTGTAAGCTCTTTAATAACTGAATGGGAAGTCGGGTTGATTATCATGAATGTGTCTGCATCTTAGCGCTTATGATCTTCTCTTATGTTGAAAAATATTAGCCACGTCAATTTTTAGCATAATAAACTCTATTTAAAAAAACAGTTCTTAGCATAAGCGAGCAAAATTTGTGTTTGTGCTCATACCCATTTATGCAAAATTGTCAATGCAATCACCAACTTCAGAATTTTGTGGGGTGGGGGTCGGATATGAAAGCCATAAAAATGAAGAAAAATCTTTTGTGGTTTGATAAAATGCTTTTTTTTTGAAAGCCACAACTCAATAGAATCTTAAGCCCCCAAAAGGACATAAGAGATTTCAATTAAAACTTTTTTCAATTTTCGGTTTCGAGCAATTCTATTTGGACAAGTTGTCGCTAGTCTTATGAAAGCCATAAATATCAAGAAAAATCTTTTTATGATTTGATAAGATGTTCTTTGAAAGCTACATCCAAAAAGGACATATATAACATAAGATGTTCCAATTAAAATTTTTGCATCGGTAGAGTCACCCTTTAGGCTCTGTTTGAAAGTAACGTAAATAAGTGTGAATGTAAATATGTAGAGTGTAAAACGGTTCATATAAAATTGTAAAGTTGAGATTGACAAATTTATTTTATTACCAAACATATTTTTAGCTATAACGGATGCAAATACGAATTCTAATAAAATATGTCTTTTTTTATCAAAAGCCCACTTGAATACAAATTTACTTATTTTTTATTAATATACTTTTACATCTCATTATTGATGTAAATATGCATTGAAAAACACGTTTTCTGTTATTTGTCAATGCATAAATACATTGTTGCCAAACACAATCAAAGCTAAACCAGAATGCAAATTTATCCTGAACCGGGATTTATACTCCATTTGCATCTTTCCAAACACAGCCTTAATGGTTTTCTTTTAAAGATATTATGTGGTTAGGGGTGCAAATTGGACTTGATGGGTTCGGGTTAGGGAATTGTTAAATTTTGAATGAATCCAATGTAATGTAAATTCTTCAAATCAAGTACTCATATATAGCACATTAATTGAAAAAATGAAAAAGCAAAAACAAATTTTGGAATTGTCCTTTTGATAGCAACAAAAATCAGCATCACTCATCTGTTTCAAATCTGCCAATATTTGAGATTCATTGTCAACATCTGACTATTGAAAATGGAATGGAATTAGTGGACGTAGCATTCTTAAAACTCCCATGACAAAAGCACTTTTCCTGAATTTATTGCCAATCTGATCGTTAAACAGGGAAAACATTGTTTTCTGAAAGTGATATTTCTTGTTCTGGACCAGAAACTGATTGGAGCACTCAACAATAATGCCGTGGTGGTTGTTGAAAACAATTTAATGCTTAATTAAGCAAAATCAATGTTTTCAATGGAAATTTCATAATATAGTAGTTAAGTTAGGTGATTGATGAATTATGATACAGGGGTTTACATAAAACTGATTATTTCTAATATGGTCATTAAGATAAAGAATGCACTTCATTAGAATGGGAGGAAAGAGGAAAGAAATAAAGGAAGTAACATCACAAGATAGGTGGGCTGGGGGCTTGAAAAGAACCCTAAGCCTACCCTTTGTGGATACCCTTCGTTGGTCAAATCCTTGTCCATGGCTCATTTTGTTTATATTAAAAAATCAAAATCACACCATTTGGTTGCAATGATCACCATGACCTAATATATATATATTTATATATAGTAAAAGAATTTTTATGAAGATCAGAGGCAAGTATTTACTGTATGTATGGGTTTTGGTTATAAAAGTTAAATACAAATATGCATATATTAATGTTTTTGTTAATAAGAATATGCATATATTAATGCTTTTGTTAATAATTTTAAGTTTAAGGGCAATTTTTTTGATAATTATATAATTTTATATATACAAATGCTAACACTGAATTTACCTCGGCCCAACCCAGTTGGATTGGGTTAGGATTGATCCAACCCAACCCAACCCGGTTTGACCCGGCCCAATTTAAATATATGTGGGACCCATAAGTTTCAAGCTGATCCCTTTAAGTTTTAATATGATACAAGTGGCAAGTTTTGGGCCTTCTGGGTTTGGGGTCCAAATCATTTTATTATTTTCGAAAAAAAGAGGAAAGCCGGAAAAAAAGGCCTACCTAAAAATTGAAGATAGACTGCTTGAAGCTAAGGGTGTTTACGGTTCAGTTAATCGAACTATGAACACTTTTTGCAAATCAAATTAGTGGTACCGGTTTTTCTATTTTTCCAAACCAAAACTAAATCGGTACCACCGGTTAATCAATCCGTTGGTTTTGGTTTTTGACCGGTTCAATTCTTCGATTATTCAATTTTTTGGTTTTTTATATTTATAATATATATTATATAAATATATGTATAATATTATATTATAAATAATAAATGATATATAGTATGTTATAAATATTTTTAAAAATATATAATATATTTATAAATAGATTATTATAAATATAATATAAATATATACTTATATATATATATATATAACGAATATATATTTATATATAATATATAGAAAAAACATGTAATATATATTAACAATATATATAAAATATACATATAAATATATATACCAGTCGATTTGGTTAACCTCGTTTTTTTTAGGTTAACCGAAAAATCGAACCAACCCTTCGCTTTTTCAAAAATTTCAATCCGAAATCGAACCAATCAATTCGATTAATAGCATTTTACGATTCGATTTTCTCGATTCGGTTCGATTTTTGTATTTTTCGGTTTGTTAAGGACACCCTACCTGAATCGCTTGCTTAGCTGCTCCTTCTTCTATTCTATCGAACAAAGGCAACAAGAAGAAGACAGAAAATCGCCACTTAACCACAAAACCTCTGCAGTCGGTAGCCGGTAGTCGTTGTCTTCAAAGCGAAACGAATCATGGTTGCGTCACGTGTATCCACGTGTCTCCATCCCACTGGTCCACCTAAAGGCCCGAGCCACTCGTTTCTCTTCTGCTTCTAGCTGCACGCAACTCATGTGACCGTGTTCTCCACTCGTCTACAGTCTACTCTACCTACGTCGTCTGCTCTCACTATAAAATGAATTTAAAAAAAAGGAGAAAAAGAAAAAAAAAAAAGAAAATATAAGCGTTTCAGACTGATTTCTTGTTAATCTCTCTCCTCTCTCTCTCAGAGAATGTGAAGTGGATTGAAAATGGGGTTTGCTTTTCATGGAGGGGCATCGCTTCCAAGGCAAGCAAGAAAAGACTAAAAACCCTAAAAGCTGGATTGACTGACTGACTGACTATGTTCTTCGCTCTCTCTCTTTATAATGATCAATTTCTTGTCAAAATTATCGGTTTTCTGGAGAATGCCGTACTGATTTATCCGAGGTAATCTGCCAACGTCTTTGTGTTTAATTGGCTGTTCTTTTTTTTCCTGCATTTTTTTGATCTTTAATGATGTCTGCACCTCTGAATTTCACCAAAAACATGCTTTCCAATGGCAGGTGATGATGATTCTTCTTTGATTAGGTGGAACAGAGTTTGCATTCGTCAGGTTTTAGTGCAGAGCAAAATTTGAGCTGCATGGCGTCGAGGCAAGGCTCTAAATCCAAGAAATCGACTTTGAGTGTAAATAAAGCTGTCAATTCTCCTTCTTCTTCTACTACTTCTTCTTCCAGACAGTTTCTCGAGACCTCGCTTGAAGGTCAGAGTTCTCCTGCTTCCTCAACGTCTCGAAGTAAACGGCAGTATTTCTACTCCGAGAGTGTGCCACTGGATGTTGAGAGATCCAAAGAGAATGTTACAGTCACGGTCCGGTTTCGTCCTCTCAAGTGAGTTTCACTTTTGTGCCTGTGCGTTTGTTCATTGATAAAATTTTAGTAGTTTCGGCTCAATTCTGCTCCACTTACGCTTGCTGTAGCCCGAGGGAGATTCGTCAAGGAGAGGAGGTTGCATGGTATGCTGATGGAGAAACTATTGTGCGGAATGAACACAATCCTTCGATCGCATATGCATATGGTACATTATCTCCAATTGTAATTTGGTAATTTTGAAAAGAGTATGAATTATAGGTGCTCCGTTCTTAGTCTTCAAAATTAAAGTTTCAGTAGTCAATATTACATTTTTTTTTTTACTTTTTTGGAGTTTGAACACATAATACGAAGAAAACAGAAAAGGAGAAAAGAAAACAGGGATTGACAATCAGAAATAAAGATTGAACCTTTCCAATACCACGCAATAGTAAAATTCTGAAGCCTCTTGATGGGACATCAAAAGCCCATTCATCCTCAGAAACTTCTAGGAGGCTCCTAACTGGAAGGAAAAAGGAAAATTCAGAACTACAATTGTTTCGTAGGATAAGATTAATCCAATTATTAGTTTCCAATATGAATTTCTTTTGTTATCCTTTTAACTCTCCAAGGCATGCACCTACTTGCAGTAGACGCGCCACATTTTTTGGATCTACTATCCAATTTCAGTGTAGCTGCTTGACAATGTTACCTTATTTGTCCAATTTAAGATCATCTGTGCTTGTTTGTTGCCTAACGTATATGGAAGACTTAGATATTCATAAGACCATTTTCTGGATGGAGTTATTACTGCAGGCAAGCTAATACACCAGTACTATGTTGAACAACCTTGTTACCAAAGATAATATATATATATTTTTTTACCAAAAAATAGGATAATGTATTTAAGGCATCACTAGGTGTTTTACTTGCTTAGTCAGGACATCTGCTGATGGTATTAGGGGGGTTTAGGTGGTTAGTTGCTGTCAGAAAATCAGTCAAGCCACTTATTTTATTTTATTTTTTTGATCGGCAACTGGCAATGTTTCACTAATGTTAGAAAAATAAGTACACAAGGCTATAAAAGCCATATATTCCTTTAAAATACAAAAAGAGTCACCACCTTTCTGCTCTCATGCTGTTTGCTTACTCTTTGTTGAGCTAGAGAGTTAGTAGTTCCAAGAGATTGAATTAAAAACTGCTCCTGTCCCAGTATCTTGTTTCTCTAATCTGGTGCCATGTATCTTCATGTTCTGCCTTTAACCATCCACCGATCTTTTTTTTTGATAACAAAAGAGAATTATATTAAACACAAATAAGGTTACAACCAGATGGGTGAGAAGATTTCATCAGAAACAAGGAGCATACAACAGAAAAAGTCTTTCAAAATTTAAACCAGTCAACATCCGAGCCTTATCCCAACCATATAGGATTGGCTACATGAATCCTATTTCGCCATTCTGTTTTATTTAATTTCTTATCCATTGTTAAATTATTAGCACTAAAATAATCTCTTACTACTTTGACCCATGTTCTTTTTGGTCTACCTCTGCCCCTTCTAGCCCCATCAACTTGCAACAGATCACTTCTTGTTGTAGGTACTGTTAAAGGTCTTCTATGAAAAAGACACCCAAAGATTCCCCTCAAGATCTTCCTTTCTCATATCTTTGAATTCTTGATGCAAAAGAATCCAGTCAGCGATCAAGTGCAAAAATCTGGCTAGGAGTTCTTGCCTTTTGTACGAATGACTCTAAAACCCAAATTGCTTGCTAGCCATAAACCTTGAAGCACCACTAGTTGTTCTTCCCCTCTTAAGCATATTATTCTTAGAAATAAACCTGATTTTCTATAATATAATAGTTTTTTTTTTTCACAATTTACTTATTCTCCAAGCCAATATTCATATAATATTTAAAATTGTTGTTTAATCAATATCAGTGTTACATTATCTTTCCTACATGGATGATGTGTCCATCTCAGACATTCATCATAGATTCTTGATGACAATTCTACATGGATTCTTGATGGATTCTTGTTTAATCAATATCAGTGTTACATTATCTTCCACTCCATGGATTCTTGATGACAATTCTACATAACAAAAGCATGTGGATTTACCAAATTACCTGTTGTGTTGACTCTCCAAAATTACAATTCTTTACTTAGATCCCTCTATGGAGCAGTGCTCCAACCATTTAAACTGTCCAATAAGGAACTTTAGTATTTGCATTTTCCCAATTTGCACTTAACTTATGATCCATTGTTTATTGGAACTTGTTGAAATTCAGCAGTTTCTTATGATTTTGTTGTTTATAATCATTAGTTAGTGTAATTGGGCCCAAGGCCCATTAGTTTATGTTGTTTTTTTGGAGCTGTTTTTATGCTATGAACACTAGCCGCCCCATTAAGGGCATTTTAGTCTTTGTAATCAATATTTTTTATGAGTATATAAGATAATGGGTGGGGTGCCCAGATCATTATTGGCTTCTCCCCATCTCTTCTTTTCTTTCTCTTCTTCTCTTCTCTCTCTTTCTCTCTTTCTCTCCTTTCTCACTGTTATCAAATCAGATTATTGTTTTTTTTTTTCTTTTCTACTGAACTTTCTAATTAGCACTTAAATTAGGAAAACAACAGTGGAAGTAACCTTGGTAATCCCGGCCCCTCAGGTTTGGGAGGGGTATTTAGAAATTAGAATGGCCTGGTTTAGCAGTATTTTGAGGCCTTATTGAAAGAAGGGATTCAACAAGAGCAGAGGTACTAGCACTTAGAAGTTCTTAAAGTCTTGAAGTTGGTAAATATGATGAATGCTATTGACATTGTTGTTGAAGGGGACTCTAAAGTAGCGGTCATCTGGTCAAGGAACAACAATCGGGCTATATGGCAGCACAGATCTTCTTCCCCTTTCATTTCCCCTTAATCCCATTCTCTTCTAACCTTTCAGCATTGTGTATGTTTCTTAGGTTGGCATGGTTGTACATCTTCAGTTTGCATGGGTGTAGGTCTATTGATTATTTGCTTGATTCTTTGATCTGTAGTGGTCTTTTACTGTGACCAATTGGTTGTTATTGTTCTCTGATAATTTGTAATGATGGGTTACACTTTTACTGTTTTCAGTTTGCAGTATTTCTGTCTAATAATTTGTGTAAAATTTTCATTGTGATTGGTTGGCATTATTCTATGATGATGTGTAGTGATGGTTGGGCTGTGATTGGTTGGGATTATTGTTTTCTGATGATCTATGTAATTTCTTTAGTGTGATTGGATGGCCTTGCCGTTTGATGATCTGTTGTGATGCTTAGGCTGTATCAGTTGGGGTAATTGTTCTCTAGTCTCTAGTGATCTGTAATGATGCTTATTGGAGTTCTTTCAAATTTTCTTCCTGAATTAATATGCTGTCATACTTGCAAATTTGAATTTGTAAAAACTAATAATCATTTGGAATTTATACTTGGTATCTAATTTTCTTATTTGACTTCATGCTTTTAGATAGAGTATTTGGCCCTACAACCACAACTAGGCATATTTATGATGTGGCGGCACAACATGTTGTTAGCGGTGCCATGGAGGGCATCAATGGTAAATATGCTTAAAACTTTTTGTTTGCAGAGATTTGGTAATAAATTTTGTTTACAAGTCATATTGCTCTCACTTGTTTGTTAAAATCATTTTGTTGTACTATGTCAGTATGCTCTTTATTTTCAATGTTAAATGTCCTTTACTATTGTTTTGTATCACAGGCACAATTTTTGCATATGGTGTGACCAGCAGTGGCAAGACTCATACAATGCATGTGAGACAAATTCTGTCCCCCTCCCTCTCTCTCTGAATCATTCATTCACTTTTTTTTTTTGGTAAACAATTCTTCACTTGCTCTAAAGGCATGCTTGGATGTATCAATATATAGTTAACCCAAACTAGTAGGGATGGGTGGTTATGCTAAAATGTTGATGACGTGTAAACACAAATGCATGTTCATGTGCTGCCAAATCATGGGATGACTGCAACAGCACCACAATTCCCAGCCAGCAACAGCACCACAACTCCCAGCCAGCATCCCCAAAATCCACAGATGATCACACAACAGATTTCATTCCTCTTTTGTCTTCTCCCTGTACCCCTAGTTTGTGCCTCTTCACCTCCCTCTTATTTAGACTCTAATAGAAATGTTTTTGTGAAATTGGATAGATCCTATTAGGTGATTGACAGGACTCTTTTGGTTTTTGAGAAAGTAAAGTATTTCATTAGAAGTATCAGAAATTTACAGTATCACCCATGTACAGTGAGATCCTGTGCATTGGGACTAACAACAGCCTATACAATGTATTTCAACCTGCGAATGGCTTATCTTTATCAAAAAACAGCAACCTGTTAATCCCTCCAATAATCAACTTCACCACTGAAGCCTTGTTCTCAAAATATGTGCATTTCTTTCCCTCCAAATGCGCCAAAAGACAGCAAATGGAAACATTCCCCAAACAATCTTCCCTTGCCTGCTTAGTTCCCCAAGCACCCAGCTTCTAAGAAACAGTTCAATCAACTCCAGGAAGCATCCTTTCAGCTGAAGACCACCTGCCCAGATCTGAGAGGAAACTGGACAGTGTAATAGTAAGTGGTTCATAGAAAATTCCATATAGTTGTGGTTATGGTTGAGTTAAAGTTGAGTTGATCGTCTTCTAAAGATCTCCTAAGTTGACAGAAAGTAAAATCTCTAGTCAATGACTCAAACCTCAATAATAGTCAATTCACAAAATATTTGTGAGGATCAGTCAGTGTTGTGAACAAAGTACTAACTGGCAATGTCTTTACATATATGATCTATCCAATCAGATCCACTAAATGGTCCCCGGACATGTTTTCCACATCTCTTTTCTCTATCCTAGGCCCTGCATCATAATGCCTTTTAGTGCTAATTCTAACAAAGAAGACTTCATGGTGGATGTTTGGACCAGCCCTTAAGTGTTGTTTAGGGGAGGCAATACAATATTTAGGGACCAATCTGTTGTGAATACAATATGAGGGAGGCAACACCTTGTGCCTCCTCTTAGGGTGTTTGTACCTTTTCTATTTCTATTTAATAAAATTTACGGTCATTCATCAAAAAAAGGGCGCCGGTGCTGGATCTGAGACTGTGTTTATCACATTTTTATATTAGTGACGAAATTTGTTTCTTTTTACATTGAGACTTTATAATAGCCAAGCATATGGTTTTGATTTGTTCATTACCAACATATTTTTATATGTTTTCTCCTACACATTTTTAATATTAACACACAAATGACAGGGTGATCAAAGGTCTCCTGGAATCATACCATTGGCTGTGAAGGATGCATTTAGTATCATTCAAGAGGTATCATAAATTGGGTACTAATTCAAATTCTATATTGTTGGTACAACCATCTGGTATATTAAAAATTCTGGTTAATCTGACACTCATCTATTTCCTAGACTCCAAATAGGGAATTTCTTCTTCGTGTCTCATATTTGGAGATTTACAATGAGGTAAGCTATTTTCCTTTTAATCAATTTATTTTCTTAGCACTATGATTTACATGATTGTGAATAATCATTTGGGGATTTCTTCTTTATAGTTGTTTTTTTTTGATCAATTGTAGTAATGTAGTTTCTTGTTTTGGTAATAAATAAAAAGAAAATTCTGATAGAAACATCAAGTTTTGAGTTAACATTGAATATAATAGCTCCAAAAACAAAAGAAAACAAGAAACATGTAGAAACTATTCAAACTCTAAGAATCAGACAATCAAACATAATGGAGAAAACATCTGAAAATATTGTTCTTGTCTTCAAAAAAATTCTAGTTCTCTCCTTCCCAGTACCACAGCAAAAGGAAAACAGAACAACACTCTAGCAAATCTTTGCCTTTCTTTTTACTCTACTGATAGATGGCCATAGCACAAAAATCTCATGAGGTTCTTCCAGACTGAGAAATGAATTTCTGAACAATGAGAAGAAGAATTCCCAAATAATATCTATGCTGCAATGAATAAGGATAGTCATCATGGAACATCTAAGATTCAAATGCTGATCCAAATAATAATAAAAAAAAAGCTTAGCTTCAAATGATCAATTGTAAGAATTCTCTGTGGAGAGAGCAACCATGCAAATATTTCCCCCCTTGGAGTGATGGGATCCCTCAAATCACCTTAACCTGAGAATAGATAAGCTGATTTTTGATAATCCATCATAAGAGGATTTGACTGAAAACCTACTTACACACTTTTTCCATCTTGCATCTGATGTAGAAGGAGATATATTTGTAGCCTCCAATTTACTAAACTGCAACATGCATTTCTCAAATTTGCTGTCCAATAATGGTCTTCTAAATGATGGGCACCTATCATATATTAATTTCTAATACCATAGAGAGATATAATTCTTTTTCCAAGTTGCCAGCCTTTTTCCAAAATTGGAGTCCAAAAACAACTTTCCTTTGGGTTAGCAATTAGCACCTAGAGGAAGGCCTAGGTAGGACATAAGCCAGGAAAACCTAGGACAATCTAAGCACTCTTCCACAGATTCAATAGCTCTATCATCCATGTTAATATCCACCACACAACTCTTGTCCAGGTTTATCTTCAAATTGGATATACTCTCAAAGTGTTTTATCAAACTTTTTAGGTTCCTCACCTTTCTCAAATCACCCACTTCACAAAAAATTATAATGGCATCAACAAACTAGAGATAGGTTACCAGAACTCTATTCCTACCTATCCTCCAACCCTTTATTACCTCTTCCTTATCAGCCTTTGTGATTAATCTGCTAAAAATATCAGCTACAAGGGTGAACAGAGGGTGATAGAGGGTCACCTTGCCTTGGGCCTCTACAAATTGGAAAGAAGTCCTTAACCACACCATTGATCAACATTGCAAACTGACAAGAACTAACACAACCCTTCACTCAATTGCACCACCTTTCTCCAAAACCACAATTCCTCAGTATCTCTGTAATTTTTCTTGGATGGAGAGAAGCGAGAAAGAAGAGAAGAGAGAGGAGAGGAGAAGAGAAGGGAGAGAGAGATTCGATTGGGAATCAAAAAACTGTAGCTGGCCAGTGCCCAACTTATCATTTATATTAACTTAATATAAAGAATAAGAGAAAAATACAATTATGCCCCTGGCCACTCCCTACTAACAAACAAATAAGAAGAAAATAAAAGACACTGGCTGACAACATGCTACCAACAACTGTAAAATAACAAAATAAACAACTCTCACAACACTCCCCTTCAAGTTGGGCTGAATATGTCTATCATGCCCAGCTTGTCACATAACTCATTGTGCCGAGAGTATGAAAGTCCTTTTGTGAGGATATCAGCAAGTTGTTCCTTGGAGTTGACATAAGGGATACAAATTTCACATTTTTCCTATTTTTCCCTTATGAAGTGTTTGTCCACTTCAATGTGCTTGGTCCTCTCATGTAGGACATGATTGCTGACGATGTTTATGGCTGCCTTGTTGTCACAGTAAAGAGAAATAGGATTATGAACAACAACTCCAAGCTCCCCTAGAAGGTTCTTTAGCCAAAGAACTTCAGCCACCCCATGTGCCATAGCTCTATATTCCGCTTCGTCACTTGACCTTTCTACCACACTTTGCTTCTTGCTTTTCTAGGTTACTAGATTTCCTCCCACAAATGTGCAATACTCACTTGTGGACTACTAGACTTTCTATCATCCACAACACCTGCCCAATCAGCATCTGCAAAGACTTCCACCTTTAGGTAATTATGTTTACTGAATAGTAGACCTGTACCAGATACTTTTTTAAGTATCTAAGTATCTCTCTCTGTTGCCTCCATGTGTGGTTTCTTAGGAGAGTGCATGAATTGGCTCAGGACTCCAACTGAAGGCAATGTCTGGACGGGTCATGGACAAATAAATCAACTTTCCCACTAACCTTTGGAACTGCTTCACATCTTTCAGAGGTTCACCGTCACAGTCACCCAATTTATGATCAACATCCATAGGAGTATCTGCTGGCCTTGCGCCTAACTTGCCTGTGTCTTGTAACAGATCAAGGGTGTATTTCCCTTGAGAAATGAAGATGCCCTTTTTTGAGCGGACAACTTCAATTCCAAGAAAATACTTTAGAGGACCTAGATCTTTTACTTCAAATTTAGATGCAAGGAATTGTTTTAACTTGTGTATTTCTGAACTCCAATTTCCTGTAATGATGATATCATCACATACACTATAAATACAACAACTTGTTCTCGACATCTCTTCACAAAGAGTGTGATCAAACTGACATTGCTTGAACCCTACTTGCTGAACTTCCATATGAAACTTTCTCAGCTTGCACACCTATTTTCACTTCCCTTGGCACAGAACCCAGGGGGTTTAACCATGTACACCTCCTCCTCTTGGTCACCATTTAAAAAGGCATTCTTTCTGTCCAGTTGATGCAATTCCCAGTCAAGATTAGCAGCTAATGATAGAAGAACTCGAATTGAGTTCATCTTAGCTACTGGAGCAAATGTCTCATCATAGTCAACCCTATACACTTGAGTGTACTCCTTGGCTATTAATCTTGCTTTGTACCTTTCAACTGTCCCGTCTGCTCTGTGTTTAACTGTAAGCACCCACTTACACCCCACGGGGTCTTTCCCCCTTGGAAGATTCACCAATTCCCAAATTTGATTTTTATGGAGGGCATTAATCTTCTCCTTCATAGCATCTGTCCATTCAGGGTATTTTAGGCCTCTGCAACATTTCTGGGTACAAGGATGCAATCAACTGTAGATAGGAAGGCTCGGTATGAGGGGGAAATGTGATTATAGGATAAATACTGGGTAATGAGGTGTTTGGTTGTGCATGGCCGGACTCCCTTTCTTTGAGCAATAGGAATGTCAAGGTCATCCACAATAGGTGCAAGGGTATCAATAGGTGCAACAGGGATTGGACTTGCCTCCTGTGAGTCTGACGGTGTCGGTTGCTCAATGTTTGGTAGCTCCACATCTCTGTCACATTGCTGATCTCTACGGCGTGTACGTTGGAAGACACGAAAGGGGGCAAGGTTCGGAATAGAAGGAAGAGAGACTTGGTGGACCTGAGCTTGCTTCTCCTCTTCCACACTACTCTCCTCCTGAGGAGAAGCGGGGAAGAACGGTTCAGACTCAAAAAAGACAATCCATAGAGACAAAAGAGTTATGACTAACGGGTTCAAAGCACCAGTACCCTTTTTGAGAGGAGAGATACCTCAGAAAGATACAAGGAATGGATCGAGGGTCTAACTTACCATGAGACGGAGACAAATCATGGACAAAGGCACGCCAACCAAATACTCTCATGGGAATGGAAAATAAAGGAGATTGAGGGAACAACAACTGATGAGGGGCCATGTAGTTCAGCACTCTAGAGGACATGCAGTTGATGACATAAGCAACTGCAAGTATAGCATCCAACCAAAACCTTTTTGGAACATTCATGTGTAACATCATCCCTCAACCTACCTCAAGGAGGTGTCTGTTYTTTCTTTCTGCAACACCATTTTGTTGTGGTGTTCTTGCGCAAGAGCTCCTATGAATAGATCCATGGGAGGCAAAGAACTCATTGAGCTCACCATGAAAGTATTTCTTTGCATTATCTGATTGAAAGATCTGTATTTCAACATGGAACTGCATAAACATCATCCTCTGGAAGTCTTTCACAATCTTTGGAACATCATCTCTGCTACGCATGGGAAATACCCATGTATAGCGGGAGAAGTCATTGATCAACGTGATAAAGTACTTATATCCTCCCTCAGAGATTATAGTAGTAGGCCCCCATACATTAGAATACACAATATGAAAAGGAAAATTGGATCTTTTATTATTTGAATGAAAAGTTGTTCTACATTGTTTGCTCAATTGACACGTTTGACACTAGAAATCTGACACTGAACATGACTTAAATAAAACCGGAAACAAAGACTTTACTATTTCAAATGAAACATAATCTAACCGACTATGCCACAGAAAAATTTGACTCTTATTTGACTGAATATATGATTCCGAGGACGACACCGAGAGACCATCTTTGTTGTCGAGAATGTAGAGACCATCCACTAGAATGTCGCGAATGTCGAGAATGAGCCAGGAAAAAAGGTTACACTACAATTTAAAGAGTTTGTAATACTACTGATTGAAAGCAAATTTATAGGAAGTTGAGGGACATGTACACAATTCAGGTTAAGACCATGGGGAAGGGATATTGATCCTTGGCTTGCAATGGAGGAGAATGATCCATTTGCAAGCCTCACTTTATCCCTTCCTGACAAAAGGTTATAAGTCTGAAACAAGTTTGGCTTACCAGTCATGTGGTTGGAGGCCCCTGAGTCGATGATTCAAGTGGAGTCAGTGGTAGTGGTGACATGGAATGCAGAGGCCACATTACCTGATGTAGACGCAAATGAAGTAGGAGTACCAGTAACTGAACTATCCATCTGTCGCAAAGCCCTACCATATGACTCCAAGTGATCTCTGAAGGAATTCATGATAT